CAGTTTTCAGTTGGGCTTCAGGTGCTTAGATTTGCAGGTCAGCGCTGTGTCATGTCCTCCAACGTGAGCCGTCTGTACCTTGCCGGTGTGCACTGCTGCCACAGCAGCACCTACAGTGTACCTAGCCCTGGCCCGGGGGTGACAAGGAGTTATTTGGTGTTTTTTTCCATACAGAAACACAAAAGCCAGATGGGGAAAAGCAACATGGGCAAGCACAGGGTTCACCTTAAAATACTGTTTACCATTGTTACAGCAAGACTTTGTGTGACTGTGACAGAAAACAGTAAAGAGGGTTTTTCACTGAACTTTATTTGTAAACATTCCTCCAAGAATCTTCATCTCTGATGCCAACTTTTCTCTTCTTTTTGCTTATTTTTGAATATTTTAATTATATGTATTTTAGGGAAGGGTCCAAAGGAACTCACAGTGATCCTCCTGTTTACAGCCTCCCAAGAGCTGGATTACAGGTGTGTGCCACCACGCCCAGTCACAGCTGCCATCTCAGCACGCTGCCAGCGGCGGGGCTGGCACCAAAGGCCTCGGGATCGAACCCCCAGCCCCTGCTTTAATCTGCTGAGCTATTTGGCCCACCCTTTATTTTCAGATTTTAATAACTCAAATATTTTATTTTCTCTTGACATTTGATGACTACCTCTATATATACTATAATGAACTAATGTTAAGATTTCTTTAACAAAAATTCAAGTTACTATGTGTCTGGCAGTTGTTTCCTTTGTGTCAAGCAGCTACGACCTTGCTTAATTCTGTAACAACTTTAGTAGGCACTCTTCTTGGTCGGGGCAATTGAGGCATGGAAAGGGTAAGCAAGTTTGGGCTAACAGCTGGAAGGTGGCCAAGGTGAAATGCTAGTCTGTGTCCGACTTGAGGCCCTCAGAGCCGAACCCCCATGCTGCATCGCAGTGCCAGGAGTCGGGTCCCAGTTGCGGAAGGAAGATTATTCCTCCTGTAGCACAGTATTCAGCACTAAAGAGGAAAGGACAGAAGGTTTCAGACAGGTGGAGAGGCCGTGGGGTAGAGGAAATCCGCGGCAAGCACCTTTCAGTTAAGCAAATGGCAGGGGTGGAAGACCCTGGGTCTGGCAGTCCTGCTCAGCTGGAGAGAGGAGACTATATGCAAAAGCGAATGAGGACGGCACAGGTGGGAAGAGTGAGGCCTCCAGGGAGCTTGGGATGGTAGTAGTTTCACAACAGTGGGTGCACTAAAGATGATTAGGAGACTACTTTTTTTCTGTCGCAACACACATTTATTATGCTTCCCTCTCTGCAACCAGGAATCCAGGGAGTTAGCTGGGCTCCGGATACTCTGAAAGTGTAGACCAGAGCTGCTTTCATCAAAGGCTCTACTAGGTGAAAAGGACTCACTTTTGGTAGTTGAATTTGGTGACTTCGGATTTTGGTTTCACAGAGAGGGTTGCAGTGTCCTGCAGGTCAGCAGCCAGGTGGCCGCAGTGCTCCCTGGGCCTTGCAGTACAGGCAGCACACAGCACAGCATCTGCCACTCCACAGCTGGCCAGGAACCGAGGCGCTCAGCTGCCCAGGTCTGTAAGCTACCTCCTTACAGTGTGTCCTGTGCTGGCCTGTGGAAGTCACAGCCATCCCTGCTGCAGGCAGGGACTGAACAACCGGGGCATGGCTACTCAAGAGCCTCCGAGAGATAGGCCAGCTGGAGAGAGAGTAGGAACTAGAGGGGCCTGGTATAGGCCCGAGTGATGAGGCCTGCTGTGTTTGTCTCCAGCACTGGGATCCAACCTAGCCAGTGCCGCTGCAGTGCTGGGCCTGTGCTCTACCAAGCTACAGCAGCAGTCCATAGCATGCACTTATATAATACTTATAATCTCTTGCCTATGCACTGTGAAACTGTTTACATTCATTATCTCGTGTGACCTGGACACACAGGACCCAGCTCTGCACAGCACTTGAGAGACGTGCATCCCAGCTTCTTGCTGGTTATCGCCACCTCCCTTTCTGTCTTGCAAGTTTAGGTCAGATCCCAGTCTCGGTGCTCCTGTACTTCAGATTAAAGTAGGAAAGGCCCAAGATGCATAAAAATAAAAGATGCTGAGATGTTAAACCATTTCAACCTGCAGATAGTGATGGCAGTTGAAGGAGAACTGCCATGAGCGGCACTAAGAAAAGAAGGAAGTCCCTGTGCACACCGCTGCCAGGCACGGCGCGCGTGCACAGGGGACCCTGAATTCTTTAGAAGCCTGGCACAGTCCTTCTGTTCACTGCACAGATCAGGAAACGGGAGCATGTCTGTAACTCTAGCTTCCTAAGTACATAACATAGTGAATAAAGGCAGTGTGCCTTGTAGACAGTTAGGATATGGGACAAGGACACTGTAAGTACAGTGGTTACTTTGTTCACAGCTAAGAAAATTAGCACAGCCACTAAGTGGTAGAATCATGATGTGAACTCCCTGCCACTTAGAGCAGACCACGCACTGCACCGTAACCATGTCTGAGGCCACAGCAGCACGTCCATGTGGATGTGTGTGGTGCAAGTGTTCAGCACACACCCAAGTCCCGCAGGGGCACGTAAGAGAAAGGTCACGGCTACAACCAACTATCGAGGTGTTCTAAGGAGATGATAAAATCCGAACATGAGATGCGTTACTATGAGAGAGACTATAGGTCCAAATAATCGTTGAGACACCTGTTTGTAGATGCTGAATTGACAAAGAAGTGTTGTATTTTAAAAAGTAACAAAGATATGGGTGGGCATACAGATAAAATGGAGAGACAGAAACAAAAGCCAAGTAGAGAGAGAAGGAAGGATAACTGGAAATATCAGCCCTGGCAGAGTAGCAAATCATAGGCTTTTTTTGAGCAGATTGAGGCAAACAGCCTGAGTCAGGCAGGCAGCATGTGGGTAGTGAGGATCGAGAGCTCATGAGAACACTTGTCTTGTAATCCTGGGAGAGCTGGTCCTACTATGAGAGAGGGCTGAACATGTGAACAGTGAGCTCCTGTGATGGATACAGAAAGGAAGACTCTGGAGGAAGAAGCTCGGGATGGGGAGACAGCAATGGAACATGACATGGGGAATGAGGGCAAGAGACGGACCACTGGCGTAGATGAGCTTACCACCTTTCCTTCTCAAAAGCTGATAGAAAAGTGAAAACTGAGTACAGAAAACTGATATTCCAACTGAGATTCTTAATTCTTCTCTAAAAAGTAATCAAGTACATTTACTTAGGAAGCAGAGAAAAATCTCTCAGAACTTAAAACTTAGTGAGAAGTATTTTAATTGAGGCAACACTGACAAAAATTTATCAGACATCTAGTCTGAACTAAGCAGCTGAGTCAGCAGAGAAGACAATGAAGAATAAAGGAAGCACCATCAGGGATCCCAGTGAAACGAAATAGCACAAACTTTTAATGGAGCCCAAAGCAGCGCTTCCTTACTTTTGGACACCCTACAATGAAAGTGGCTTTGGGGGAACTGATGGTACTGCTCAGGGCTGAAAACTAAAATGACAAGAATGAGAGACCAGCAAGAATCCCGAGTCCAGTGAGGGCAACTGTAGCACTCTAGACTAAGCTGAGTAATTAGGTAAATGAATACAGCATTTTGAGGTAATAAAATGGCTGTGGTCAGAACAAAATTCCCAAAGTTTGACATCTTAAAGTAAAATATTCAATCCAAATCTAACATAAAATGCCCTTTGCCATATGTTAAAAACAATCAGGGATCTATAAGGCCAATTTATTAGGTGAGCCAGAAGTAAAAATAGGTGAATAAGGAAAATGAGAGAGGGTAGAAACAAAACCAAGTGGATTGTTAATGACTGTTCTGTTAATAACAGTTTAGCACAAGTTCAAAGTTTCGCAGAGACAAAAATATAATCTATGCTGATAATAACAGATAAGAGTGGGCCAACGAGCTAACTCAGCAGACAAAAGTGCCTACTTAGGCTAGCTTAGGCAAGTGCAGGGACTACAGTTTGGTCCCTGGCACCACATGCCATGCCAGCCACGCACCCAGAGCACACACCGGTAATCTCAGTGCTGGGGAGGCTGAAAGCAGGAGGATCACCATAGTCTGAGCTGCATAGTGAGACCCTACAACAGCCAAATACATAAAAAAAAAATTTAAAAATGAAGAGATAAGGGTGTTTTGAGGCTGGTAGCAGCTGTAGAGACAGGTCGTGTAAAAAGAATTAGATTTGACTTGACAATTTGTCTAACCTAAGGCCACTTTGCTTCTTCATAGAATGAAGCCACCAGGTCATCAGCAGTGGGGGAGGGGGGACAAGGCCCACAGGAGGCAAGGGTGGGGTGGGAACTGGAGTCAGTCGGAAGCGTTTCTGCCGCACTATTTGCCTCCCTTGTCGACCCTCTCATTGCTGCACAGAGAGCCTTCCACCCTTAAGAGAGCCTGTAAGGAATCACTCCCCTTCCAGTCAGGCGCTGTGGCTGTGGAATTGGGATCCCGCCCAGGCTGCAGAGGTGGCCTTCCCACCACAGCACACGGATGGATGAGCAGTGCTAAGATGGTCAACTGCAAGCTTCCAAAGACTCCAGGATAAGGTCTGATTTATACAAGATGGGCACTAGTGTACTGTGTGTGTAGCTCTGAAATATTCTCTGGGCATTTACATGTCTAATACATTTTTTTTTTAGATATGAAGGAGTTTCAAAATACATGCATATGCTCACTTAATTTCTGCAGCTATATCCTAAAACACTCATACATTATTTTTCAGATGTGAAAATGAAACCAAGTTCAAAACAGAAGAAGTATTTTGGGCTTACAATTTCTGCCCTACTCCATACTCCTGGACTGCGCTTCTAGGCCTTATTTTGTATCTTGTTTTCTTTGCACCTGGTAAGCAAAGGCTTCACTGCCTTTATTATTAAATTATTTTTTAGAAGAGATGGCCTGCTATTTTACTAACCTTTTTTTACACCCCACTCCCACCAGGGATGGGACCGATGCCCTGGACGGTGAATTCAGAAATATATCCCCTCTGGGCGAGAAGCACAGGAAATGCATGTTCATCGGGAATAAACTGGATTTTCAATGTTTTGGTGTCACTGACGTTCTTGCACACAGCAGAATATCTTACATACTATGGTAAGATCTTGTTTTTCCTACTGTGTTTTTAGATGTGCCATAACTGTTATCAAGAGGCAGTGTGGATATGTTTTCCTTGTTAGGACCGTCTCTCTAAGGCTCTCTTCCTTGGCCAAGGCCTCGGAAACGAACCTGGGAGGACAGAATTCACCCACCCCAAGCACTGCTTTCATCTCACTGCATGGAGCTGCTGCCCAGCCACTCTCCCACCTTCCACACCTCAGCCTCCTCCCCGGTAAATTCAGGCCCTC